GGCCCTGGCCCGCTGGACGCTTCCCGTGGCCCTCAGCTCGCCGGAGGATTTCCTGCGGCCGCACGCGCACGTGGGTGCTGCCATCCCTCTGCTCCTCGCCGTGGCAGCGGGGTCGTCGCCACCAGTGCCGGTCGTTCAGCATTGCATCGGCACTAATTCCCACAAAGCAAATATTCCAGCCAGGCAGCTGTCTCCTTAAGGCAGCTGCAGTTCCCGAAGTCAGCCTCCCTTCACAGACCTCAAAACAGATTAGAAATAACAGAGTTCCTAGGGTGAAGAGATGTCCATCCAGTGGAAGAAGACCTTGGCAAGCAGACATCTGACCTTGGGACGGTTAGATGGTAAAATCCCAGCGTCCTTTTAATGCCTGTAAATCTCTCTAACAAGCAGCTGAGCAAAGGGTGAATTGTGTTGCGCAGTCTGGGTGACGCTGTCACTCTGGGTTAGCTTATTTTGAAATAGGTTGCAATTTTGTTTACGTGCAGTCAATTTAAAAAATCAGCTCAGGTGCATTTTAAGAAGCGTTACCCTCACCAGTCAGTAAACCCTGATCTGCCACCCTCAAGGCACATCTTTCACACAACCCTTGGAAGAGCTTCCCAGCACATGGGCTAGCAACATGTTAATCTTGATAAATCAAATATTTGCCAAGCGGAGGAGAAAGCCATGTGTCTGAGCAAGATGCACTGAAAAATGGAACAAAGCGCTCTGCGTGTCAGAGATCACGAGGTCGTGTTGCAAGCCTGTCCCTTGCAGAGTCATCCTTCAAAACAACATTTCCTTAGCCCAGCTGTAGATGTTAGACTACTCCAGCATTTGTTTTTTCCCCACTTTTTATGGCACAAACCTGACCCTCTCTCTGACCCAGCTCCTCCTCATGGAGTTTAATCTCATCCAAACTTTGAATCCGATTCGGTTCAGAGCAGAGGCAGGGCTTGCCCTGGGCTGACTTCGGAGGCACTGATAAAAGCGATGCAGCCTCACCTCCCCCTGCCCGGTGCTGCGGCTGCGGCCGGATGCCACACGCCCGCCGTACCGCAGTTATTTTACACTGTCCCACGTCTGAAAACTTCACAAGCTGCTGTTTGGCCCTGATGCCTCACACCGGTACCAGCGCTGCTTCTGCAGTTCAAGGCTTATTTATCTGCATGTGGATGTTTCTCTGCTTCTGCAAGGGATGCGTCTGTCGCAGGGTTTGGAAGGAGCTGAAAGCACAGAGTCTCCATCCTAATAAACCATCTTCGACTGTCCAACTACTTATTATTCAGAAGGAAGAGTGAAGCCGCTGCTGCTTGTCTCTTGGCTGATCCTGAGCACCTGAACAGGGGCAGCTGGGCTATCTGTGAGTGTGTGGGTAAGAATCTGAGCCTTCTGCTGCCTCTAATTCAGGCACTTTCTTGATGAGCGCAGACAGAGCCCAGACATCTCTCACATGCAGAAACTAAAACTCCAAACTGCGTCTATGGGGCCAAAACACTTCTGCTTTCCAGTTCCACTGACAAAGCCTTCCATCAAACGCCGTCCACCCCTGCAGAAGGGCATTGCAAACGGGCAGTTTGAGCCTTCCACAAACACCAGGCTGTGGCAGACTGAAGGCTGGGAATGCACAATCTGCCACTGAAATAGGAACAGGACTAATGGATTTCTGTGCATGTTCTCAGCCTGTATATTTAACACATCCCTGGAACAGACACTTCTGTGCTAAAGCTCCTCTCCTTTGCCTTCCTGCACCCCTGAGACTCCCGTGTGTAATGAGAAACGGGAGCTTGCTGTCCCATGGGCTCCTGCTGGCTGGAAGGCTGCTGGCTTCTGCTCCTGCAGGACCTCCAGGTCAGCTCTCCCAAAAGGAGATTCATCAGTATTCAGGAAGCAATTAACTCTGCATTGCAGTGATCCGGTCATGGCACGACTTCCCGCTGTTCCCTCTGACAGGGCCACGTCAGTCCAGGACATCCCATGTCTGTCACTCCAGGCAAGCTGTTAACACACGCTCTCACTCTCACAGGGATCAAGCTATCAGAACCAGCAGTGCCTGGAAAAATCTAGACAACTCTTCCACCTCCTCTG